GGAGGGAGGGAGGGAGGGAGGGAGGGAGGAAGGAAGAAAGAAAGAAAGAAAGAAAGAAGAAGAAGAAGAAGAAAGAAAAAGAAATTTTACATCCCAGCGATAGAAACAGTGTAAAGGAAAAAATAAAAATGGAAAAATAAAGAAATAGAAATGTGTCCCGGAAAAGTAATCTTAAAACAAGAAGCATAAAGTATTTTCAGAAATTTAAATCTACTTACAGTGCGATGACTTGGTTCTTGGATGCGATTAAATCTTGTAGCTCACAGATTCTCCTAACACGACACTGCACGATGGTCATCGAGCCTCGACAGAATCCATTCTCACTCGCAGAACACGTAGAATCAATGGAGTTGTCCGCCAAGACTTTTGGTCCAACGAGAAAGAAGATAATATTGATGAAACGAAGTTGTTGAAGAAGAAACATCTTGGAATGAATCAGCTGTACGCCACAGCCGGTGTCTTAAATACAGACATGACATGCCTAATGCATTATACTTAAAGAGACGCTTCAATACACATTTATACACACTCATGATGAATTATAACTTTGTCTTGCAGTTAAAGACCACTAGATGTCAGCTTTACAACATAGCATACTTAGAACTGCTGTCGTGTGGGGAATCCGCATGAAATCAAACCGCTTGTTTTGAGATTCAACATCAAAAACGAACCCTCTTTCGCTCCACCCTGAAATGAGGTAGGTTTATGGACCAACTTGCACTAGCTGGTCACGTGACCCAACCATTAATTTGACTATTCGACTAAAGCGACTATAGGAGAAATGACATTAAATATAAAACCGGAAATTTAATAAGGATTTGCATGGGGAAAGGTGTTGTTGCAAGAACCTTATGAAGTGAAACTTCGCCCTCTTACTAATATCAAGGTGCCCTTTTCATTTCTGTTGTTCGTTTGGACACAGCTGCTATGCCCTATTAAATACGGTGCTGTTTCGTGAGACTTTGACGGATGTGGAAATATAAATTCAAAGAATGAAAATATTTTTGTTTAACATGGAAGTCAGCAATAAGCCTAGTAGGTGTTAGCTTTCCGAGAAAGGCGAAGAATCCGAAAAAGGAAGTCATGCTTGCGACAAGAGACTCGATACTTCATTACGTCAGATCTTTCGTTCCCTCTTTCGGCTTTCATCCCATAATTGCAAGCGGTGCAAATGGTTACCAGTCTACCTCCGCAGTTTAGGAAGATGAAGTCAAATATGATACTCTGATAATCAGCTTTACTTTTTTGTAGATAATATATTTTAATTTAGGCTTCAACCTGGCTTGAAAAATCTTTTTTTTTTTCCGATTTGTAATTCGGGTCTCATTGTTGTGGAGAACCCGCTGAGAATGATGGAGAACCCGGTGAAAACGGATGAGAAACTTTTGTTCTTCCCGAATTCGACACACTTTTATAACTCATCACCTCTTTTATATCAAAAAGCGATAAAATATAATAAAAATATAATATGTTATTACACTTGGAATATAAAATATTAGAAATGTCATTTACCAACATGATTTGTTTTTTGTAAAAATTAGAACCTTTTGATTTGTAGCTACGCACTGACACGAGGGTTTGTTTGTCCATGGCTATCTATCGGTCTTCGTTCTGGCGTAGTCCTAAAATAAGGAAAAATGTTTTGTCAGCTTGAACAATCTTCTCTTGGACACGCTTTGGGCTCCCTGTGGTATTATTGGGCTTCAAAGGACTTTGTTTTTCTTAGCTTTACTTTTTTGGTTTCCGCTTAGCTTTTTGACCAAACTACTTGGAATTTTGTTTTGTTTTCTTTCTTTCTTCGTTCATTTTTTTCTTCTTTTTTACTTTCTTTCTTTCTCTCTCTTTCTCTCTTTCTTTCTTTCTTCCTTTCTTGGTTTCTTTCTCTCTCTCTCTCTTTCTTCTTTTACCCCCACTTGTTTAGTTGCCAAGGTCTCATATAGCCACTCCGAGGTCGAGTAAAAGAATGGGTCAAGTTGGATTTGCGGAGAATTCTGGGACTGTTTTACAAGACGAAATAGACGCCATCTTGGAAACATTTCCCTTAAACAGTCCCAAAATGCAATGCAAACTTGACCCAGTATTTTCCTCAACATCGGAAAGGCTAATAGTTCGTTGTTTTTTTTTTTTTT